ACTTACAGTGTATTTTTCGGAGTTCGTTATCGCTTCACCAGATTTCGCCCAAGCAATGACTGGATCAGGATGGCCTGTAACTCGAGCTGTGAGCTCGGCCACCTCTCCAGGAGTTGCCTTGACGAGTTTAGGAGCGTTTACAATGCGAGGAGCATCCTCGGCAAGAGATCGTTCGTGACCTGGAAGGAATGTGAATTGAAGTGAACTCAGTTGTCGTAATTGTTCATTTGCGTACTATGAATATCAAGTCTCATAATGCATCGAGCCGTTCCATATTGATTGCGTGCTTCCACCGCGTATTCTCCTCCATCTTCTGGGAAAGCATCAGCAATCACCAGACGAACGTCTGGACCGTTTCGGACATATTGGAATGACTCGGAATCGGTGATGGCGACGCGATTGCGTACCCACCGAATTTGCAAGGGTTCCGAGCCTGAACTTTGATGTTTTCGTGAAAAAAAAATCAAAGCTATGAACTAAACATTGAGCCGGGAGTTTATTACGTTAGATATTGAATTTCAAGAAAGTGCAAGGATTAAAGATCTGAAAAAGTAGTGAAATTTGAAACAAATTGTAATATTACATCAATTACGGTACCTTGAACAAGCTCGGCGACTAGTTCAACACGTTCGCCATCGTTTGCTTTAATTATGTTTCGTACCTTTTCAGTCCTAAAATAAAACCTACGCTTGTATCGCCCCAAGCTATTTAACATGTAGACGAATAGTGTGAGGCTAAAAATGAAGTTGGGTCTGACCTGAATAGAGGCGGAATGCCGTCGGCATAGAGTGAGTCCCCTGGGTCGATCTCCAAGGACATCTTAAATAGAAGTTGCAAAGACTATGAATCTCGTATACTGATCTTCCGGTAGTATTCAAAGTGGAGAATTTAAGAGATAAAGTTTCATAATCCAAAAACTTGTTTTAAGTCAAATCGAAAGGTTATATTACTGAAGATGACGCAGCATATTCACTTGATACGTCTTTCCACTTTCTCCGCTCTTCCCTCGCCAAAAGTCCAGGGGTAAAAATTACTTTGAAACTATGTGAGTTAGCTTTTGCTTTACTCTTGATCTCACGCTAAAACTTCTCGAATAATACTTATAGAGCACACCGTACATAATGGAGATAACGAGAAAAATGGAGAGGGAACAATTTGGAAACGATTATGACATATTAAATGCCCCTTTATTATAAGCTTCCTCAGGC